TTAAGATTTTTACTTAAGATTGAGAATATTTCTGTTTTTTCCTTGCCTCGTTAAGTGGGGTGAAGGCAGCATCCGGTCAGCCATAACTGGAGGGTTGGATGTCACTCTGTGGAGTCAGGGGGTAGGTGGCCTGTCCTGGCCTGCACAGCACTGCTCTGCTGAGGCTTTGGAAGATCAAGGAGGGCAAGGCCTCATGCCTTAGCAAAAAGTAGATCAAAAGCCCTCCCTGATGGAGTCCTGGTTGGAATGACCAGTGGAACTGTGGGGTGGCTCGAATAGGAAAAAACAAAGCCCAGAGTAACATGGCGAGTGGGAAGTTCCTTCCTGATTCGCATTGTTTTTCCAGTTGCAGACAGGAAACACTCCAGTGTATTTTCAAGCACGGAACATTGGACACAAAGGAGGCCCTGACAAAGCACAAAGTTGAGGTCTGTGCAGCAGAGTCTCTGATTTAGAACAGCCTGATTTGGCAAGCATTATTTTATTGTTGGGTCACTCTGTCCACTGTTTTTTTTCCCTTCAGGTACCTTGACATGTTCAGTCTGTTTAAATTTAATAAATGAAAACAACAACAACTGGTCAAAGATAACTCACCTTATACTTACCTGGCAGAGGAAATACCATGATTAGCAAAAATAATTTATCTCGGGCTGGGGATGTGGCTCAAGCGGTAGCATGCTTGCCTGGCATGCGTGCGGCCCGGGTTCGATCCTTAGCACCACATACCAACAAAGATGTTGTGTCCGCCAACTAAGAAATAAAAAAATATTAAAAAAAATTATCTCTCTCTCTCTCCTCTCTCACTCTCTCTTTAAAAAAAAAAAAAAAAAATTTATCTCAGGAAAGACCAGCAAGTTTTTATAGCTAATTCCCTTGGCTATTGAATGAGCACCTTGGCCAATATATCTGAATAATTGCTGAATTTTCTTAGGTAAAAATTCTTGGTAAAGATGAACACCCTAAAAATCATTCAGCATAGAAGGCCTTGGACCAGTTATAGTAAAGAGGGAAGTCGGACCCCATCTTGGGAGTGGTTCCTACCATTATAGCTGAGATGCTCAGAGAGTGCCCTGATTTGCACATTACCCACCACTGTCGTGATCTGTCTGTTAAAAGTGATGATAGTCGATGTAGGTCACTTAAATAGTTTCTTTTTTTTTTTTTTAAAGATAGAGGAGAGAGAGAGAGAGAGAGAGAGAGAGAGAGAGAGAGAGAGAGAGAGAGAATTTTTAATATTTATTTTTTGGTTTTTGGCGGACACAACATCTTTGTTGTATGTGGTGCTGAGGATCGAACCCGGGCCGAACGCATGCCAGGCGAGAGCGCTACTGCTTGAGCCACATCCCCAGCCCTCACTAAAATAGTTTCATTTGAACTCTGAAATCTGGTTAAGAAGACAGACACATTGGATCCACAAGGCAAAAAAATAGGGCAAATTTATTTTTAAACAGTGCGTTAACATTTTCATGCAATATGTTCAATATTTTTCAGTCGCTAATACCTTTTCAGATAAAGTCACTTTAAAACAAAGGGTCCAGTTCCTTAGGAAAAAGGACTGTAAATATATTTATTTTCTTTGCATTTTGGATACTCAAGGTACATGTGCTCTTCTGCTTTTGTAGATTGCTAGTTGTGCCTGCTTTGAGGTACCTTAACCATATCAATCAAACTATTTGAAAATGTAACATTGTATTTATTTTTTTGTGGTGCTGTGGATTGAACCCAGGGCCTTGTGCATGCAAGGCAAGCACTCTTCCAACTATGTTATATCTCTAGCCCAGTAACGTAGTATTTTTTAAAATGTGGAATTATGTATACATGTAGTTGAAAAAGTAGTTAAGTAATCAAGGTTTATTACAAAATACAGTTGGGTCTCTCCCTACTCTTTCAGAGATTCTTCAATTACAGAATCAACTAGTATGAAAGTTTAGCTGTTTACTCTGGAGTTCACTCATATCCATATTTACAGATAACATGTTTACCCTGCTGTGCTGTGGATCAAGTGTAGTTATTGTCTCTTGACTTTCTGTTAGGGTAAATGAGTGTTTAGGGCCCCTGTACACCCTTTCCCTCTGCTTCCACACCACCATCCTTCCAATATTATTATGTTATAAAGTTTGGTTATGTTAGTGTTTGGCATTTGCGTTGTTAGGTCCAATAAATTATTTGCAGCTAAGCATAGTAGTGTATTGTAACTATCTTCCTAATAGACTTTTTATTTTTCCTGAAGTTAATGCTTGCTTTTTGTTTTTGCATTTGCTTTATTTATTTATTTGTTTGTTTTAGTGGCTGTTGCAGCACTGTGCTCATAAATTTAGAAATCTTTAACACCTGGCTCTTTCTCTCAAAAAAAGCCATGGTTTGAAAGGAAAATTTTTTTAATTGAAATTGGTTTGTATTTGATTTAAAAATATATATATATTTTTATAGTACATAAATTATATTAACTTAAATATGTACATCTATGTATAAGTTTATATATGTATATATATGTGTATGATTATATATATATTCTCCCCCCCACTTCTTTTGGTGCTAGGACAATCCCGAGGACCTTGTATGTGCTAGGCAATTACTCTACCATTGTGCTATACCCCTAGCCCTTGTGTTTGATCTTTTATTTCAGATTATCAGTGTGAGGTCACTGGAAAAGCTCAAGGTGATTGTCCTCAGCCAGCATTAGTGTCAGCACACTACCATGCTTTCACTCTTCTCTGGTAGCCCACAGTGGGAAAGCAAAGCAAGTTCTCCTCTTGTTATTTTAAAAATAATTTGTTTTCTGATAGGACAAATCTGCTGATTCACAGATTGACTGTTTGCTTTTGAACTTGTGAGTGTTAGTAGGCCTTGAGACCTTTTTCTGTATACTTAGACATGCATAAGGAAGAGATTTCAGAGTTGAAGTGGGGGCTTATAGGGACTGTGTGGAGTTTTAGACTTTGGCTAGAGAAGAAAAAAGCAAAAGTTACAAAAGCCAGCAGAGGTATTTTGCTAGAGGAAGGGTGAGGCTGTTGGTGGGAGGTGAGGTGGGATCCCAGGAAGCTCTGATGGTCCTGGTCCCTGCTAGGCTGACCGTCAGGTTTCATTTTGAAGCAGCTAGTCTGACCCAAGTCAATAGGACCCTGCTCCACTTCCCTGACTGGCGTGGCTGCTAGTGTTCAGCAGGTCAGCAATGCCCAGAACCACATGTGCCAAGCAAGGGCTATGATGGCATAATTTGGTCTGATGCTAGTGGACCTTGTTCATGGAGTTGAGCTTCTGGGAGCTGTGGCCTTGACTTGCTCGCCAGCCTCTGATTCTCTGGCCTTGGGAGGTTTGAATCCTGGCAGAGTTCCGGTTTTCTGCAGAAACTGGTGAGTGAGCCACTCCTGTAGGCCTCTCCAGGTTAACTAGGACACTACTGTGATGACTCGTATAGGTATCCTCTGTGTTGATGCCCAGTTTGGTCAACATACCATTTCCTGAAGATACTTGTCCCTTTGCCCATAGCTGGTCTTCTCTGAGCTTCGTGTTGAGTTTACTTGTGAGTCCTCTTGGTGTTTCTTTTGCATTTATTCATGGCTGAGACCATGCAGCTCTGCATTTTGCTGTAGAGTTTATAAAAGGCCAGATTTCTGGTTTATTTTGGCCCCTTTCCATCTCTGCTCATTCTTCGGTGCTGAAATGGTCTTTTGTCTTCTTAAGAATTTACTTGTTCATTTTAATGGGAATTTGATAGAAGTTTTAAAAGACCTGGCTCAAATCACTAATTGTACCAGAAGTCTACAATGGCATTTAAACTGTAGTACTGCTAGGTATTATTTATGATAATGATGCAGCCATTCTGAACTGCAGAGAAAAGTGCTAGTCAGCTTTCTGTCACTGTGATACAATACCTGAGAAAATCAATTCTAAAGAGGAAGGTTTATTTTGGCTCATAATTTCAGAGGTTTTAGTCCATGGTTGCTTGGCCCTGTTGCTTTGGGTCTGAGTGGCATGGTACACCATGGCAGGAGCACATGATAGAAGAGGCCTCTTCACCCCATGGTGGCCCAGGAACAAGAGAGAGACAAGGACCTATGGTCTCTATGCCCTTCAAGGACATGCCCCCATGAGCTAACTTCCTACAACTAGGCCCTACTTACAAAATGTTCTGCCATCTCCCAGGTGACCAACCCCTTAACACATGAGCCTTTGGGGGATATTTCCAGACCTAAACTAAGCAGTCTTCAAAAATTATTCTGGTTTGGCAAATGAGACTTCAGGATCTTAGAATGCACCTCTTCTGATTGCTGCTACCATTTTGGTTTTCTGGAAAGGTTGGTGAAGTGAGTAGTAGTTCCAAAAATAGCCTAGGGAAAGTTCTGAAAATTCTTTCTTTCTTTTTGAAGTTAGGGAGAAACCTGGTGGTTTAGACTTGTGTCATTGCTTATTTCTAGATTTGTGATGAACTGTTTTGGGAAGGCTATAAAACATGGAAATTATCATTTTAAGAACTGAATGTTGGGCTGGGGGTGGAACTCAGTGGTCCAGCACTTATCTAGCGTATCTGAGGTCCTGGGTTCAATCCCCAACACCGAAAAAAAAAAAAAAAAAAGACTGAAGGTTAAGTTTCGGGAGAAGAGTCTTCTCAGAGCATGTTCTGTGGACTTCCTGCAAGGGAGTTCTGAGCAGGAAGGGGCCTGTTGGGAATGGAGGCCCTCACTCTAGACACACTGGCTCAAAAGAGAGTCCTCTGTGGTGCCATGTGGAAATTGGCACTTGCCATCAGCCCCACTTTCGGGAATGCTGCAGATGCTCAAGGCTGAGAACCACCATGTTCTTGTGTTGGGTCTCTCCTCTGCAAATTTTTGTTTATTTTAGCTAAAGTCACCCTCCGATGTAAACACTGGTGGAATTTCCCCCCTTAGCATTCATTTCTGCCTTATTTGTTTTAAACTGGAAGCTAATAATTTTTAAGTTTCATGAGTCACTTTTCTTCCCTGGGTTTCTAATTCTGTATTTTTAATTTTTTCCCACAGAGCCGAGAAAACAGAAGTCCTCAGTGAAGATCTGTTACAGGTAACAAAGTAAAGTTTTCTTAAAATAACCTGTTTAAAGTCACAGTGTGAGGAAAGAGTCCAGGGCTGAGGGTGTACCTCGGTGGTAGAGAGCTTGGGGCCATGGGTTTGGTCCTCTGCACCGCAAAAGACAAAAACCAACCAGCAAACAAAAACTATAAATGAGAATTGAAGCTTGTGGGTTTTAATTTTTAAGTGGAATAGAATAAATGAGCAGGAAGGAGCGGCGGTAGAGTGGCTAGTGATGGAAAGGGGATCTGAAACCGTGGTGTCGGTTATGAAATTCATTCAGGGCTGGTGCACATTCAGGTGCGGGGTGCTGGGTGGGGAGGGGCCTACTCACGTCCCTGGTGGGCCGAGGCTCTGATCTGCTGCTGTGCTGAGGCCCTTGGTGGGACAGGCCCCTCGGCTGAGGCAGAGGCCCCACCAGCCCCAGCTCGTTCCTCTCACCGTTGGGCCCCAGCTCCAGGCTGCATGGGTCCTGAGGAGCTTGTGCTTTCAGTGATAATGCCCAGACCTACCTGAGGCCCCGGAGCCTCTGCTCAGAAGCTCAGACCCTCTGCCCTCCCTTCTGCCAGGGGACTCTGGCCAGGGCTGTTGTACTCAACCTGTCAATAGGTTCCCTAATGTTGGGGTTGGGAGCTTCTCCTGGCAGACGCTGGGCCTCTAAGGTCCTCCCTTCACCAGTCACAGAGCAGCCAGGGGAGGGCAGACCTGGCCAGCCTCCTCCTGCAACTGCAAGCAGGTTTACTTGGGAGAGTTCCTGAGACCCAGGGTCTGCTCCTAGGTGACTCTCTCCCTTCCTGTGTAGAGGAGGGATTGGCACAGCCACCACGACACAGGCCAAAACCTTCTGAATGATGACAACCATCTTCAGGTAGAACACTGTGTTCCTTGGTGTCCACGAGCAGATTGTTTCCAGGCTCCCCAACAGGTTCATAATTTGTGCTTACCCCAAACATAAAGTGTCCTAGTTTTTGCACACCCCCCTTTATTTTCATATAATACCTAATACAGTCTAAGTGCTGTGTAAATAGTTGTATTATTTAGGGAATAAGGACAGGAAATTAAAGTGTGGATATTATGTACAGATGGAATTTTGTTCTCTCTCTCTCTTTCTCTCTGTGTCTCTTAAAAAAAATTTTTTTTATAGTTGTAGATGGACAGCATACTTTTATTTGTTTAGTTTTTTATGCAGTGCTAAGGATAGAACCCAGTGCCTCACGCATGCTAGGCAAGCGCTCTTCCCCTGAGCTATGGCCCCAGCCCTCTTTTGTTTTTTTTTTGGTAGTGGGGATTGAACCTTGGAACACTTAAACACTGAGCCACATCCCCAGACCTTATTTTGTATTATATTTAGAGTCAGGGCGACTTTAGCTAAAACAAAGGCCTTTAGCTAAAACTTAAGGCCTTGCTGAGGCTGCCCTTAGCCTCTCAGTTGTTGGAATTACAGGTGTGCTCCACCGTGCCTGGCTCTCAAACATTTTTGATACATGGTGGATCAGTGGATGCAGAACCCTTGGAAAGAGAGGGCCAGTTGATTTTTTTTGTGTGTGTTTTGGTGCTCAGGATTGAACCCAGGGCCTGTGCTATGCCCCCGAACTGCATCCCCAGCCCTTTTTATTTGAAGACAAGATCTTGCTAAGTTGCCCAGGCTGGCCTGGAGCTTGTGATACTCTTGCCTCAGCCTCCTGAGTTGCAGGGGGTGCAGATATGCACCACTGCACCCCAGTTGTTGGTTTTTCTTCTTTTTTCCCCCCTGTTGTTTGTTTGTAAGGTTTTTTGCTTTGAGGATAGAATCTTTTTTTTTTTTTTTTTAATTAGAGGATAGAATTTTGTAAAGACATATTAAAGAATCATACTCATTATTTCTTTGTTGATTTTCTTTTCATGTTTTAAAATAATTTTCAGACTTTCAGAAATACTGTTTGGGCCATTTAAATGTTAACCAAAGTAGGTTTTCATATTGGTATTTTCCCTTCACATCCCACATCAGTCATATGCATCATCTCACTTAGCCCTGAGGTCCTGCGACAGGCAGAGGACCTTGCAGGTCGGCACAGTCCTCATCCTTGTCCCTTTGTGCAGATAGCCACTGGCATCTGAAAGGGTTGCCGGTCTCTAGAAACTCCTGCCCTACTGCACAGGTTCCGAGTCCACATCTGCCACCACTGCCACAGAGGTCTCCACACCCTGGGGTCTGCTGTTTTTAATGTGGAGAGTAGAGAGTGGCGGCCAGCGTGAGCCCTGGGTTCAGCCCCAGGTGTGTCTCACTGGCGTTGTGTCTCACTGGCGTTGTGTCTCACTGGCGTTGTGTCCTCGTGGTTTTCTTACCTTCCCCTCAGTTTCAACCAGGGTCTTGGCAATCTTCACACTGTGGGTTGTTAGGAGGGTTAGTGAGTTGTGGAAAGTACTGATCACGGACCAGGCAGTGTGACTGCTTGTTCTTACCACCACACCAAGCCACAGAGGTGGGTGTGGCTGGCTTGTGTGCCTGGCAAAACGCCCCTAGGTTTTCTCTTTGATTTCCTACTTCTCTCTTAGATCTCTGTTAGAATAATATGAAGGTTTTTTTTTTTTCCTTTTTTGTTTTGGGAATTGAACCCAGGGATGCTCTACCACCGAGCTACATATCAGATCCCAGCCCTTTTAAATTTTTTATTTTGAGTCAGGGTCTCACTAAATTGCCCAGCCTGGCTGTGAATTTGCCTCCTGCCTCAGCCTCCCGAGAGCTGGAATGACAGGCGTGGTTAAGGGCTGCCTTTTGTTTTGTTTGTGTGAAATTGCCCTGTGAGACTATGGATCCCTGGAGGGAGAAACCAGGACTGACTTACTGTTATTTTTCTAATACCTGGCACAGGGACTCAGCAGATATGCCTCCGGTTTGTTCGCAAATGTCAAGCGAGTGCCTTCTGATCCTGTGACAGACGGCGCGCAGACGCTGGCTGGGAGATGAGTGGACAAAGCAGACAGGGCTCTTGTCTTTGCAGTGTTGACATTCTAGTGGAAATAAAAATGAAATTAAGGAAAGCCATTGTGAGACTTGGGTCTTGGTAATTGGGGCTCAGACCTGAAGCAAAGCTGCTGGTGTTGTGGGGACCTTTGAGAAAGAGGCACAAAATATCTCATGGGGTAAGATATTGTGAGGGAGTCAAGATGTATTCTGCTTTGAATTTGTTGATTTTTCTTTAAAATAGAAAGCATCCCCAAGGGCCTGTGCTCCTTGGTGAGTCATCAGAGTGCACATTTCTGGCATTCCTTCCTGTAAGAAGCCGTTCTCTTTGCCATAAACAGCCATGTCCCAGTAGTAGTATTTTGGGAAGCTTCTCACAATGTGTGGGTCCCCAAGTCATGGTTCTTACTGCTGGCCATCTATTCTGCTCTAGAGATTCATTCAAAACAAAACCCACTCCAAACCCAATAAGGAATAGTTTTCTGAGCATTGATCAGGAGTCTAAATGGTGGAACATTTGATTTGTCAGTCTGATGTCCTGCGTGTGGAAGGCTCTGTTGCCATGTGCTGGAGACCAGGCTGTTGTTGTCCCTGTGACAGCTTTTCCCACTTGGCACTTGGTCTGGGCCTGGACTGGTCATTTGCAATTCTGCTTGGTTGCACTCAGGGCTTTGCTGGTGCATAGCGGGTGAACGGACAGCCACCACTTGTTCTGACAGTAAGGTTGAACTGGGACTGTCCCCTTAGCCTGCAGACAGAGACCTCCGAAGCCTTCAGTACAGGAGGGTCATGGTTCTCAACAGGGTGGTTTCACCCTCCTGGAGATATCCCACAATATCTGCAGTCATTTTTGGTAGTCACAATTTGGAGAGTGGGTGCTATTGGTGTACTATGGGCAGAGGCCAATGTGCTGCTGAACACACTGTTGGCTCCTGCCAACCTGCAGCTGCCCAGCCCAGAATGTCCACAGTGAGAATCCCGGAGTGTCGAGTGGGGGCCATTTCTACTCAGACACAAGAGCTGCAGGATTTTACTGCAGAATGCTTTTCCTGCCTCTATGTAGACAGGTGGAAGGAGGTTAGTTTGTCTTCAGGCCTTGAAAACAACTCTTTATTTCTGCCTTGTCAGATCGAGCGGCGCCTGGACACTGTGCGGTCAATGTGTCACCATTCCCATAAGCGCCTCATGGCATGCTTCCAGGGCCAGCATGGCACCGATGTCGAGAGAAGACACGTGAGTATCAGATGTGACCCACAGCAAGGAACCTTTCTTGTCTTTTGGGGCTTATCTCCTCCTGGACTGACTGGTTTTTCCCAAGTAGCATTGGCAGGTTGACTTTGGATGGGTATGTTCTATCACCCTTTGTCCTGTGACGCTCCCTGGCCATAGCATTGTTTTCTTGCTTAAGACATCACCTGGCTAAAAGCCCAGCTCCCCCTGAATCTCTTCCAAGTGCCTTTAAGGATTTGAACCATTTGTCATTGATAAGAGAATGGACATGTCAGTTGGGAATCCCTGATGGCAAAAATCTGAATGCTACTTAAGTTGACTCAGAAAGGAGAAGTCCAGAAATTGGAATGGGGTTGAGGTGGGCTCATCTCGCATTTCAATAATTAATACAACCAAAACCTCAGCCTCGTGCTTCTCCCCCACCTTCTTCACACCTGTTTTATCTGAGACAGGCACCTCACAGCTGCAAATTGGCACCAGCATCTTCCTGGGCTTCTTGCTTCTTGTGTGTTCCAGCAGCAGAGAGAAACTCTTCTAGTAGTTTTCTTGGTGGAGTAAGGAAGTGCCTTTTCCCCCGCCATTGCCAGATAGAAATTCCTGTCCATTGCATTGATCTGTGTCAAGCCACATTCTCTAGTTTCCGTAGGCAGGGGTGAGGCTGGCTGAGGGGAGGGAGACACTGGTTGACCTAAACTGGTTGGGCCAGCCCTGGAGCCTGGGCTGTGTCTACTTTCTGCTCACAGGCTTTATTGAGGCTGAAAATATCCCTAAGAAAAACCAGGGTACTGTCGCAGAGAGGAACGGTGGCCTTTGGGAGAGCCATCTGGTGTCTACTGCTGCATGCCTTTGTTCAGAGCATTTGGGACCTCTGCGCCACCAGTAGACCCAGCAGTGTGTATTCACCTAGCACTTCTGTCTTTGTGTTCAGGCTCCTGACTTACAAGCATGCACCATCCTTATGAGTTGGGTCACATTCAAGTGACAGTTCACTGGGAAGCTAGGATTTGCTATGTTTTGTTTGTCATTGGATTTCTCAAAAGAAAGAACAGTTATACAGATATCTATCACCCTTCTTTTGTATTTCCTACAGATATTTTTAATACACCTTGACACCAGGGTTATCCCTCCCTTCCACAATAGTTAGAATTATGCAATTTTGTCTGGTAAGAGTGGATGTTTGGCTGGCGAGGTGCACACTGTAATCCCAGTGGCTGGGGAGGCTGAGGCAGGAGGATCTTGAGTTCAAAGCCAGCCTCAGCAAAAGCAAGGCACTAAGCAACTCACTGAGACCCTGTCTCCAAATAAAAAAAAAAAATAAGGCTGGGGGTGTGGCTCAGTGGTCTAGTATCTGAGTTCAATCCTTGGCACACACACACAAAAAAAAGACGTTTGCACATGGCCTGTGGTCCAGAAATGCTTGCTGCCCATCTTCCCCTGAGCCAGCCCCGATGCTCGCCCACTGCCTTCTGTTCCTCGTTCTCTTGCCTCAGCAGCTGCTGTGTCTAGCTATTTACTGTTGCCTTCTCAGGTGCTTCTCCCTGCTCTCCAAGTCACATTCTTTGGGCCACCTCTGTTTTTGCGGGTTCTAGCTAGTGGGTTTACTTTTCAGTCATTGTCAAACAAGCAGAAAATCTCAGCCCTAGACTCTGTTAGCACACACAACCAATTCTTCGCCATGTGCTGATGCTCTTGAACCTGTCAGTACATACAACTGTGGGGCTACTGCATGTTCCCTTTTATGCCATCTCTACCCTCCACAGCTGCCTGACTCACAGGCCCTTGATTCTCCCTGTGGATACCTTTTAGATTCCTCACTTCTGCTCCTACCTCTGCCCTGATGCAAGACCTGATGAACCACTGCCGGGGCTATTGGGTCACCTCCTGCGCTGTTTCCTGCCTCTGATTTCCTTCCTTTCCATTCTGTCTCCAACCTGATCGCCAGAGTCAGTTGCCTAGTACACAAATCAAATGTGTCATCCTCCTGCCTAAAAGCAAATTTTAGCTTAGTGGGCCTTTAGCTTAGGGACCAGAAACAGCCCTGGGTATGTTTGGAAATGTGTTGAGTCAGTGTGCATTGCTATAGGACTGGGGACATTGTTGGCATTTGGAGGCTGGGAATCAAGATGCTAAATGTTCTCTAGTGCCTGGTGAAGTAATTCCATGCGGCCAGTGCCCCTCAGTGCTGTGGTTCCCATTGCTTGGGACAAAGTCCATGCTCTGTAGCATATCTTAAATCTTTATAATCTGATCCCATTTTGCCTTATCAGCTCCTTTGTCCCGTTTTCTCTCATTCTTATTTTTCTCTCATTGTAGTCCCCAAAGGTGTCATCATCTTTCACAGTTTATGTCCTGTTGTTCCTATTGTCTGCTTCAAGTTGCTGCCCAACTGTCATATACATTCATTAAAAATAAACAAAATGGCTGGGGTTATAGCTCAGTCGGTAGAGCTAGCCTGGCATGTACAAGGTTCTGGGTTCAATCCCCAGCACCAAAAAAAACCACACACACACACACACACACACACACACACACACACACACA